CAACAGGCATCCCAACAGGACTCCTGGCAGATCTCTCAGCATAGCAAGGAATTCCCCTCCACATTGCCACAAATGGTCAACAACAGAGAGCAGGACAGCACCACACAGCCCTCTCTCCAAACTGACTTGCTACACCCACTGCTCAGCCCTCAAGAAAATACCACAATGAAGGAGCAGGAGCTCACAAGTCCATCAGAGCTCAAGCTCTCTATTTCCTCCAGCACCAGCTTGGGCTCCACGCAATTCAAGCAAGCAATGAATATGGATGACTCCCTGGGCAGTGAGGTAGATGACAGCTTCTTTGGGGAAAAGGGTGAGCCCCAGAGCCCCTTTGAGCCTCCTGGGGAAACCCTGGTCAGCATCTCCTCAGACATGAGTCACCGTGATCCCCCGTGAGGGCTCCTAACCCTACATGCTAATCAAGTACCCTAAGTGCTCAATGACCCACTCCTCCTCCTCTATCTGAATACTGCCCACCCAGATGCCCATACATTTTGCCCTGGAGAACATGTGCCCATGAGGAGCTCAACTCTGCTGAGACTCTCAGAATAAATAAAAAAGATGATTTCTAAATTGGTTTCAGAGGTTTCAATCTCCCTATCTGCACAGCTGTCCTTGGGTGGCACCTCCAGATGGCCAGCACTGGCTGTAGGGACCTTCATTATTTAAAAAATATAGTTGTTTTATTTATTTATGCATACAAGAACTGGGGTCTAGGCCAGAAGCATGGGAGGTAAGAGGATTCTCCAGAGACAGAGTGGGGAGCAGAACAGGAGGATCAACTGAAATACACTGCTGAGGGGAGCAGTGGGCGAGACAGGAGAGGTCTGCTGGGCCATGTGGGTCAAACTCATGCCACAGTGGCTAGTGATAGCTTATTAAAGCTGAGACTTCAACCCTTGTGCCATGAAGGAGGACCTATCTTCATTTTTTTTTTTCCAGTGTGGAAGAGCTGGGGTTAGGTCAGAGGTGCAAGGGAAGGGAGCAAGGGGGTGAGAGGATTCGCCAGAGCCAGAGTGGGGCACAGAGCAGGCTGATTCACTGAAAGACATTGCTGAGGGGAGCAGTGGGTGAGACATGTCATTTGTGAGCCAGCTCCCCAGTGGGGGATTGAATTCAGGCTGTGGTTATGATATTATTGATAGGCTTAATCCCTAGGTCACCACAGAAGCCCCTGTAGCCACCTTCATGACAGCCGGCAGTGCTCTGACCCCTGTGGCCTACAGGCTCTGCTAGAACACAAGTTCTTTCTTCCACTTCAACCTGCACCTCCTGGACTTTGTGAGTTTCTTAGGCCTCATGATGCTCCTCCCTCAAAGCCCCCTACATCATCACCTCTGCTTCCAGAGGATTCCTCCTCTGTTAGGGGCTGCTCTCTGCTTCCTTTGACACGTCACACCCTCACCTTTCCACTAAAAAAAACCTTGATCCACCTTATCCCAGTATTTCCTTGGCTCCCTGTCTTCCCAATTTATAGTTCCCAGTGCCTGAATCAGGAGCTTCCACATCAAGCCATTCAGGTTGCAACAAGCTAACCATGTGGTCACTCTTGGGCAGAAGTCCTGGGCAGGGAAAATTTTTTTGCTTTTTCTTCTCTCTCCTTCCACCCCAGGAAAGCTCTTTCTAGAAGGATCTGAGGTCCTAGCCATTCTGTTTCTCCTGGGGTTTCTACCCATTTTGTACCACCACCATACCACACTCCTTCCCTGTGCCTTCCTAAGACAGCATATTCTAGGGAGTAGCTCAATCACCTTATTCTCTACACCCATGCCCAAACCTCAGAAGTGGTCAAGAGAACATATGAAGATGTTCCCTTCTGCCAGCCCATGCAATGGGTTGCCATTGCAGAGAGCCAAGTAGGTCAGACCTCACGGGGGGGTCCCAATGGGATGCCTGGAGTCCAGTTCTGCTCAACCCAGCTGAACATGATCAGTGGTCCACAGAGGTCACAGCAATTGTAGCACTTCCTCTGGAGCCAGGTTTGGAGGACCTCCCACACTACACCCATGCCTCCTATTCACAGAAGAAGACTTGCTGTGCTATCAATTAGAGGGACCAGAGTCCTAAGATGACTGTGTCAGGGCCCCACTTTTTTATAGTGCTCTGGCGGCTAAGATGATATTTTAGGGCACATGCTCATTCCACTCCTTAAGCCAGCCACTGCTACCACCACCTCAATGTACAGCCGTAACAGCCATTTCAAGCCTTATTGCCAAACCACTTAGCCACGGTTGATCTACTCCACTGGCCTATTCCAAACTAGGCCATTCAAGGTCTTTCCCAGGAGCCTAAAATTGGGATGGACTGGGATTCTGTTTTGGTTTTCATCAATTGCTGAAGACAAGTGTAGATCAGTCACTTCTATCTCTCTCCAGAGAAATAAAAGCTCCTGTTGCAGAAAGGAGTCAAAAGAGGGCTTTAAGCCAGAAAGAAAAAGAAAAATACCAGATGGTTTCATTCATAGCAGGAGCATAAAGGGCCAGGGGGAAAAATAATAATGAACAACTATATACCAGAGACACTTTACAGGGGTGGGGTGGGGAAGGGGATCAAAGATTAGGGCGGGGGGTGTGTACTGGACTATGGTGATGGCACATGGGTGATTTGGTGATGGGAAGCCCATGGAGATTACAGCTGAGATGGAAAAAGGCACAAAATGATGTAAAAATAAACTATTATTAATAAAAAAAAAAGAGGGCTTTAAGACACTAACAGACAGGGCCCTCCCTGCTGGCACAATGGGTTAGGAGGCAGCACCGCAAGTTATATGCAGCCAGTTCAGTGCAAGTTTGATCCCCCTCCCTGGAGGTGACCCACATGGCGTGGCAGACCTCTTCTGACCTGCCCACAGCTCCCCTCAGCAGTGTACTTCATCAATCTGCCTGTTCTTCTCCCCACTCTGTCTCTGGTGAAGCCTCTCACCGCCCCTGCACCTCTGGCTTGTACCCCTGCTCTGTAGACATAAATAAGTAAATCTTAAAAAAAAAAAAAAAAAGACTGACAGACAGTAGCTTCCTTGATCGCTGCTGGCTTTCATGTCCCAATTTTACTCAATGGAGAAAAGAATATCCTCACCTCAGACTCAGATACACAGATCTAGAGACTATCTGGAGGTGAGAGCAGTCCCTTTGGAAACAATTGGCACATGATACTAGACACATCTGACCTCAACTCCTGTTTCAGATACCTATTGTATAACAAACCACTCCTAGACTTAAATGGCCCAGCAAAATCATGTTAGATACCAGGGTTTGACAGGTTTAGTTGGGCAGTCATGTAGGCAGTCACTGATGTGGCTGCTTTCAGCTGGACACTAGACTGAGGTTACAACATCCCACGTGGCTCTCCTCATCTCATCTAGACTCTCTCTTCATGTGGCCCTTGGTCATTCAGTTTTTTAGCCTGTACTTCCTTACAGCACAGTGTAATAGCTGGCTACCTAGGGGGAGGAAGCAATAACCACTGGTGTCTATCCTCAGAAGTCCCCACATAGCACTGCTTTGGCCTTCTGTTGGTCAGAGTAAAACATGATGCCTGCCTAGTTTCAAGGGGATGGAGAAGGGCTCCATGTTCTGATGAGAGGCACTTACAAGGATGGGAGAAATTGTTGCTAGCCCTGTTTAAAGATTAGTTCCTATACTTCCTCTCCTCTTCTATAGGTGAGCAGTCCTTGGAACTAAGGTGAGTCAGTCAAATTCTCTGGAGAAACTAAAACTAAAGACAACTGAGTCTGGAAAGCAGGAGGCCCTGGACATGTCATAATTGGACCTAGCATCTACTCATTGGGTGATATAGGGGAGGTGGTCTTCAGGGGCAAGCTGGAAAGGAAGACAATGAATAAGAAAACACGAGGCCCCAAGAGTCAAGGGAGAACTATGTTGGCTTCTCTTACTCTAGTTCTGGGGTCTCTGCTTAAATCCTCCTGCCTTGCCAGTCATCTTTATTTACTTCTCACAAGTCCTTTTTTTTTTTTTTTTTTGCATAGAATAACTGGGGTGTAAGCCAGAGGTTCAAGGGATGAGAGGATTCACCAGAGACAGAATGGGGAGCAGAACTGACAGATTTAGAGACATATACTTTAAAGGAGTGGAAGGGGGTGAGACCAGAGAGGTCTGCTGTGCCATATGTAGTCCACCTTCCTGGCCCGGTAGTAGTAGTGATAGTGCTAAGACTTAACCTCTAGTCCATTAGGGAGGCCCTGCTCATCATTCTTTGATCCTACTGTGATGGGAAGGCTTTCAGTAGGTGATGATTTGAATTGTATTTTTTTTTTAAGATAAAATATTCCCTAAGTGTAGAATATCTTGCTTGGAGGGGCTTGAATATCATAAGCAGAAAAACCTGTTTGGAGAGGGTAGCAGATATTTGAAGGGGACACAAGGTGGCTTGGATTAAGGTAGTGATAAAGAACACAGGAGAGACAATTCACCATCTATTCTTGGAGTTAGAGCCATCAAAATAGGTCGGATTAGATTTGAGGAATGTGGTAAAGAAAGAAATAAAAAAGGAATCCCAAGTTTGAAGCTGAATGGAGGTTATCCTTAGAGATACATGGAAGCCTGGGGGAGAAATTTAAGGGATGACACCAGGAATTCTGCTTTGGATACTCTTAAGTGTGAGATGCCTGTTGGTATATCTAAGAGGATATAACATAGCTTTGAAGATTATACTCTAGCTCCTCTGGATTTGAAGGCCTTCAAGTGCAGGGTTGCCAGACCTCAGCAGTTAAGACATTCTAAGCACTGACAAGATCACATGTCTTATCCCACATCTATTTTTAAAGCTTTATTTTATTTGTTTATGTGTATAAAAACTGGGTTGTGGGTTAGAGGTGTGGGGGTGGGAGCTGAGAGGATTTACCAGAGGCAGAGCAAGGGAAGGCAGGGAAGGAAGAGCAAGGGAAGGAAGCAGAGCAAGCAGATCTACTGAAATACACTGCTAAGGTGAGCAGAGGGCAAGACAGGAGAGGTCTGCTGAGACATATGGGTCAGCTCCCTAGCCAGGAATCAAGCTTATGCATATTGCAGTGGTTGCTGATAACTTGATATTGTTGAGACTTAACTCCTTGGCCATCAAGGAGTTAAGTTATCCCATGTGTTACTCATAATAAAAGAATATTAAACATGAAATGCCCCAAATCATATGTTGTTATAATTAAAATGGTTTTACTCTATTTTCTAAATCCAAAATTCTGGATGATATGATTAAATATGAACTTTTCTCCCTCCTTTGCTGCCCAATTGGGTAATGTAATGCAGAGTCAGTAAGTCCCCTCTAAGCCCTTAGCACAGGGCCTGGAGTGAAGTATGTTCCATGAGTAAATAAACAATGGCGTAACTTTCCCTTTCTTGAAGACTGAGCTTCTGAGAAGGTAGTGAGACTGTGACCCACACATATTATAAACCTGGGACCAACGTCCTCCAGGTTTGTTTTCACAGTCCCTTGGGATCTGGGCTCTGGTTTCCTGAACAGGGCTTTCCAGTGAGAATCTGCCACTATCCTCAACACCACAGGTTCCTGCTGCTTTCTAAGAGACCATGAAATTCTGCTCTGGAAGGTGTCAGTGAGCGGCATGGGGACTTCAGAAACTCCAGAGCCCACGGACTGCGGTGACCTACTGTCCTGAAGGGGGCAGTGACGGAGTGATTTGGGGATAAATTAATCCCGGGGTCAGGAGCTGAAGATCCAAATGACTCAGGACCTGAGTGAGATTCATCTACCTTGACATCACAAAATCCAGCAACTGAGGACACCAGGGCCGTCAGAGAGATGGCGATTGAGTATCGGGGAGTTCAGGATCAAGGGGGCTCCCTGAACACCTGTCGCCTTGACGGGACTCAGCCCCGGCATTGTTGGAAGTACTCACCTACAGCCACTGGCGCGCGCCTCAACCACAGCCTGGCACCGCCCCAGCCTTCCCTTGTTACTCATTGGTGAAACCTTGGAAGCGTGGACCAATCAAAACTCTCCTCGTGTCTCCAGCCCATCCGACCCCCACTTCCAGCTGACGCTCTGGAAGGCTAGGGGTGGGTCCTTTTTACGTTGACCCAATGGCATTGCAGGCAGAGAGCCGCGTGGGCCGGCGATTGGCTGAGTCCACCGGCTCTGTCAGGAGGCGGATTGGCTCGCTGCAGAGACCACCCTGCCTGAGCTGGAGTTGACATAGCTGGGCTGTGGGGATGTGGAGGTCCCGCCGCGGAGCCGTCGGATCGGCGCTGCTGGGGCTGCTGCTGGCACTCTTGATGCCGGTCAGTGGCGCCGCGGAGACCAGTGCGGGGCTCGTGACTTGTGGATCAGTGCTGAAGTTGTTCAACACGCAGCACAGGGTGCGCCTGCACTCGCATGACATCAAATACGGATCTGGTGCGCGGACGGAGGACTGAGGCATTTCCGGGGGGCGAATCCGGGGCTGGGAGTTTGAGGCGGCGGAAACGGGGTTAGAAGTTGGTTGTGGGGGTGGGGCCGAGAACATGGGAGGTGGGTGGGGGACGCTGAAATTGTTGAGGAAGGATCGGCGGTTTGAGGGGTTCGTTAGGGGTATTCGGGACGTGGAGAGTCATCCGGGAACTGTGGGCAAGGGACTTGGAATTCGGCCTGCGGCCAGGGATGGGGATGTGGGTGTACCTTAGGGGTCCCACAGTGAGGTTGTCTGGGAAAGTTTATGGTGTCCCGGGACAGGGTTCGGAAGTTCCGGAGTTGATGGCGACCCCTTCTGGGGTGGTGTGTCGCTCCTCAGGCAGCGGCCAGCAGTCGGTGACAGGAGTGGACTCGTCTGACGACGCCAATAGCTACTGGCGCATCCGCGGTGGCTCAGAGGGCGGGTGTCCGCGCGGGTCCCCAGTGCGCTGCGGCCAGGCAGTGCGGCTGACACACGTGCTTACGGGCAAGAACCTACACACTCACCACTTTCCGTCGCCGCTGTCGAACAACCAGGTGAGGCTCTGGGGAGTGTCAGAGGGCTGAGGGCAGCATCTAACTCACCTTTACGCATTATTTCTCTTCCTCTGAGTCGCGGTTTCCTCTGTGCAACGGGAATTTCTATTCAGAAATGTTTACTAAGTGCCCCCTCTGGGGTCGCAGAGGTGACTCGGCTAAAGCCTCTGGCCTGCACCCTTTCTTCTAAGCAAAAATAAATAAACAAAATAAAGTCTGGAGCCCTCTCTGGTGGCGCCACAGGTTAAGCACAGCACTATGAAGCTATCCGCAGCCACTGCAGCAGGAGTTCGTTCCCCAGCCAGGGAGGTGACCCACATGGCGCCGCAGACCTCTCCTGTCTTGTTCACTGCTCCCTGTCAGCAGTGTGTTTTGGTCAGCTCACCTGTTTCTGTTCCCCATTCTGTCTCTATGAATCCTCTCTCACACACACCTCTGGCTTGTACTCCAGTTTTGTGTATGCATAATCTTTTTTTTTTGCATAAATAATATTTTAAAAAATAAAATAAAATATAGTCTTGCCCCCAGGTGCTCTCAGTCCTGTGCTGAGACTGACAGAAAAAAATAAATCTAGCCAGATAGCATCTCTCCTGGGGTGGAGTTTCACCCAAGAGGGGAATCCACAAGGTCTTCTGGGTCAGAAACCAGGAAAACCCTGTAGGGGAAGAAGAATTTAGGCTGGGTCTGATGGGATAAGAGTCCTCCAAACCTCAGGGAAAAGAGGGGCTTATATTTGGGGGAGTAGAAGAGTAAGTTTGAGATAGATCTTGATTGTCAATCTGAGGGGTTGGACTTTATGCTGAACAGGAGTCAGAGGGCTAGTTCAGACAGGGAAAAGGAGGAGGCTTTAGCTCTGTGCATGTGTTTGAAGAGCCTGTATAGGGGGACACCTACTAGGTGCTGGGGGTGGGGGTTGGATGCCCCATTTTGCACTCTGGAAACTGAGGGAAAGTAAGGACCTGTAAAACTCAGTACCCTGGGTGTTAGTGCCACTGCCAGGCAAGTGATCATAGGGGACTCAATGTGCCCTCAGTGGTGACCCATTTCCCTCCCTACCATAGGAGGTGAGCGCCTTTGGAGAAGATGGTGAGGGTGATGACCTGGATCTGTGGACGGTGCGCTGCTCAGGGCAGCACTGGGAGCGGGAAGCCACCGTGCGCTTCCAGCATGTGGGCACCTCTGTGTTTCTGTCAGTCACCGGCGAGCAGTATGGGAGCCCCATCCGTGGGCAGCATGAGGTACACGGCATGCCCAGTTCCAACACACACAATACGTGGAAGGCCATGGAAGGCATCTTCTTCAAACCCAGCGGGGATCCCTTAGCTGGTCATGATGAACTTTGAGTGCTGTGGATGGGTGGATAAAGGCCAACAGAACAGGGTATTTGCAGGGTTGTCCTTGGTGTTCTTGTAGGGGTTCTCAAGGGCCCTTGTGATTAAAAGATATCGGTCTGTGATTGTGTTTTGTTGTGAGCCTGGGGGGTAACCAGAAGGTATATGCCCCCCACCCCACCCCAGATCCCGTTCACCACCTCTTTCTCGGTGTGAAAACTCTGTCTCAAGCACAGATTGACAGCTGAACCCATTCAAACTTTTTTGGTGCTCTTTGATGCTGTTCAACAAAACACCCTCTTGTGCACCCTTAAATGGCCTGATGGCAAATGAGCCCAGTTCCCCAACCCCTGAGCTCCATGAACCTTCCTGTTAAGAACCTGGGCCGTGACCTCAGCTGTGATGGGACACAAGCTTTCTGGCCCCTTTACCATCTGAGGTGAGGCCCCTGTTCTCGTGGTACTCCTTCCCTAACATTTACAGCAGTTTTTACACTGTCTTTGATCAAGCACTAGGCCAGTACTCTGTCCATCTGCTACACAGATGGACATCACAAGCTTCCCTCACTCACTGAGTGCCAGTCTGCCAGAGGTATGGGCATCTCAAGTGCCCATTATGGATTTCCAAAGTCCCAAGGAAATCTCCAGATTTCAAAAAATGTTGAAAGGGAAGGTAACTACAAAGAATGACCTGGAGATAACTGAAGCTTCTTTGGATCTTTGGTATAAAAGATATTTGGGGGGCCCTCTCTAGTGGCACAGCGGATTAAAATGCAGCACTGAACAGCTAGCTGCAGCTATTTCAAGGCTGGTTCTATCCCCAGCCAGGGAGGTGACCCATATGACACAACAGACCTCTCCTGTCTTGCCTGTTGCTCCCCTCAGCAGTGTACTTCGTTGATCTGCTTGTTCTGCTCCCCATTCTGTCTCTGGTGAATCCTCTCACTGTCCCTGCATCTCTGGCCTGTACCCCCAGTTCTATATGCATAAATAAATAAATCTTTAAAAAAAAAAAGGGCCCTCCCTGATGATTCAACAGGTTAAAGCACAGCACTATGAAACTCTCCACAAACACTGCAGCACAAGTTCGATTCCTGGCCAACGCAGTGACCCACATGGTGCTACAGACCTCTCCTGTCTCACACACTACTCCCTTCAGCAGTGTATTTAGTCGTTCTGCCTGTTCTCCCCTTTCTGTCACTGATGAATCCTCTCACCCTCCCTCCTGTATCTCTGGCATGTACCCCAGTTCTTGTATGCAAAAATAAATATTTTTTTTAAAATAAAATAAGTAAAAGATATTTGGGCATGTTTATTACTGCTTTATTTACAATTGGAAGACATGGAAATAAACCAAATGCCAAAAGTGGATAACTGGATTAAAAAGATGTGGTACATATACACAATAGAATATTACTCAGCAACCAAAAAAAACCACATGCCTTTTGCAGCAACATGGATGGAGCTGGAAAAGATCATGCTTATTGAAATAAGCCAGAAAGAAAAGGGAAAATATCGGATGGTTTCACTCATAGCAGGAATATAACAGACTAGGCGAGAAAATAACAATAATAATTAAGCTAATATACCAGAGACTTTTTAAAAATAATATAATAGTTCATTTTTACATCATTTTGTGCCTTTTTCCATCTCAGTTGTAACCCCCATGAGCTTTCCATCACCAAGTCAAATCTGGTAAGACATTTTATGGGGGTAGAATGGGGAATGGGGTCAAAAACAGTGGGGGGAGGGAAATGCACTGGACTATGGTGATGGCACAGGGTGATTTGGTGATGGCAAGCCCCCGGGGATTATAACTGAGATGAAAAAAGGCACAAAATGATGTAAAAACAAACTATTACATTATTGAAAAAAAAAAAATGGGCAAGGAAAACCAAGATAATAGGAGTGTGCTAGTAAACTTAGCTCTGCTGTTGTGTGGGTGACCTCTAGAGGTGATAGCTGAGATTACAGCTTTACTGGACTTGCTGCTCAGTTTAGATGATTGTAAGGTGTTAAGGGATATGCTGGGGATAGAGGGTGACATTTCTTGAAAGAGGAAAAAGTTTCCAAGGAGACAATGGAAGTGGAAACTTGCTAGAAGGGATTGTAAAAAGTGGGCAAAGTACTTGAGAAGTCAATTGACCTTATGGGGTAAGAGAAAAGTTCTAGCCAGTTGTAAGGCTTTGAGGGAAGGAGGGTCTTGTGAAGACCTTGGACCCATTACTGCTCCCCTAACCCCAACTTCTGTTCTGCTCAAACATAGGCCCACTCCTGGCCCTTTGCTGCCAAACCTCTTGAGCAATGTCTAAAAGTCTGCATTCTCTTCTTGTTACTGTCCCACCTGAGACAGAATTGGAATGCAAGTATATTGTTGGGAGTTGATCCAGAAAAATTCTGGAGTAGAGGAATGGGTCTGTGAGAGGAGAAGGGAAGGCAACCAGTGAAGCTTAATCCCACTGTGGAGCTCTGCAATGCAGTATAGAACACACATCAAAGTTATTTCAACCAAGGATTAAAGAAGGGGTTTGTTTATCCAACCAGAGTATCTTCCCCCATTTGGCTGGGGGTTGCTGCCTGGGTGGAGAAAATTACTATACTATACTTGCCACTTTGCCCTGTACCTTAGGTGAAGGACTCATGCAGTCAGAGTAAAGCCCTCAAATGAGCCACAGGTTTTGATACTGAGCATCCTTTCTGTAGAGCGAGTGTCAAGGGGATGGGTACTAGGGTACCAACAATGTAGACCACCTTGCGCAAATCCAAGGCTGTACTTCTCTGGTCCATTCCTGGCCTCTCTGGGCTGTAAGAGTGTGCTTCTGCTCCACTATCTCCCTGCCAACACCCAATAATAAAGGAGGAGGGTCAATTAAGAGTAGAATCCAACATTGCACAACGTACAGGAAATGTAGGAATCTGGGGGAGCAGTTAAGATGGTTCCAGACAGAATGTAGGACAAGACCAAAAATAAAAACTGCATCAGCAAAGCTCACATTTATTGATTACTAAAGGCCAATTGTTAAGCCAATAATTTACACAACAGCTCATTTGCTCCTAGCGATAACCCTATGAAACAGGTTCAATTGCAGCTTTAATTTTGCACAGCAGACAATCCACATTCATAAAGATTCAAACTTAGCTCTCGCTGTCTCCAAAGTATTTGCTCTATTGGACTGAGAGAAAGATAAAGGAGGCTAAGACAAGCACACGGACACACACACGAATTATGTAAGGATCAGGCAACATATGTCGTCATCATCAGCCCATAAAATGGATCTCCTGGACCAAATTATGCAAGGACCACAGCTGACACCATTTCCCTGTACTTTCCATAGACACCCCTCCCCTTCAAGACACGGTCTCGGCAGCCCAGATTCATGCAGATGGCCTTAGGCAAATCCCACACGGATCAAGCCCGGCAACCATGGGGTTGGGGAAAGCAGGGAAGGCCACCCCAGTCAGGAAGCCGAATGTCGGAAAGCCAGGGAGCCATTACAATACGCAAAACCAAGCAGCTTGCGCCAGCTCCATCAAGGCTTGACTGCTTGGCCCTTGGCCAACCTTGGCGGGTTTGGGTATTTCGCTAGGTTCACAGCCACCTCCGTAGGGGGCTCAACAGCACTGTTTGCCCCCGCCCCACCCCCACCGGGTTTCAAGCGTTTTTGCAGGCGCTACTAGAAAACTCGCAGAGATTGGAGCTGAGAAAAGGCGGGCAAAGTTCCTTTTGATAAGTTGTGAATGGGGAGAAAGTGTTTGTAGAACTCATTGTTAAAACCCAGGAGCCCCAGACGCCGTCGGTACACAGCCAATCCAGGCCTGGAGGCTATTTTGAAATAGCTCCACTTCCAGCCAATAGGCGTGTGGGAGACGAAGTCCCGCGCCAGCGCTGGCCAATGAGCGAAACATTTTGCCAAGAGGCCGGGGGCTGGTCCCTGCCGACTGTCAGCGGGTTAAAGATGGAGCCGACCGGGGAGAGGGCGCCACGAGGTTGGAGATCGTCCGGGTGCGGAGGCTGGGGGCGGAGGACGGCCGGGACCTCTCTACCACTAACCTTACGCGTCCTGCCACGGCCCCGGCCGGAAGAGATGTCCTGCCTTGTGAGTAGCAGGGTTCGAGGTGGGGGGCACGGGCAGGGCGCCCTACCGCGCTGGATTGTGTGGAGTGGCGCAGCTGGGACCCCGGTCGCTGTCTCCGAGCAGGGGACTTCAAAAGAATGGGGACCTCCTCTATGCCTGTGCTCTGCTCTGGGCTGCCGGACAGAAAAAGCAAAACCAACCAACCAAAACAAACAAACAAACAAACAAAAACAGAACAAAATCCGGAGCCCAAGTCCGGGTGCCAGAGGCCAGGGATGGGAGCCTGAGCTAGCACGGGTGCATGCATGGTGCTTGAGAGGGGCCATCCTTCTCCCGGAGTCCTGGACCGGGTGAAGACACAGGGTTGCTGGGCTGTACCCACCCCACTCCGGATGCAGTGGACTTTGGTCTATGGTTGAATGTGCGGCCCTCTCCTTTGTGTATGTACCCTCTGCCCCGTCTGCTTCCACTCTGGGGTTAGGGCAACCCTTCTACCCCACTCCGCACCCCCGCAGTCTGGTGTCTATGCTACGGCAATCTGGAGTGTTCTGGGGGAGGTCCTTGTGGCCCGGGTTCTGAGGTGGAGGAGGGCACCCTGCTGAAATCCTCTAGGCTTTAATGTGCAGGACGGGTCCTCTAGACCCATCCACTACAGTTGAGCTTCCTACCTTGCCTATATTGGGGGCCACGGGGTCCCCCCTGCTGGCTGCAGGTGCTCTGACTAGGTTGCACTACTGTGCTCTAAGAAGCAGTGCAATGATATTGTCAAAGCATCTGGGACCAGCCTTGGAGACGCCCCTCCCCCACATCTCTTCACATCTTCCCCTCCCCCCTCCCCAGGACTGGCCCCTTGGGCCTACAGGCCCTTCCCTGCCTCCTACCCAGTGCACTCCCTTCACCATGGAAACTTGAGATCTGCCTCCTGGCCTGGGCCTCTGGGGTCAGAGGGCACCCTTCCCCCAAGGCAGAGGCCCAGCCCCTGTGGATGTGCATTCTTGGTCTCAGATCTTACCCTCCAGTGACAGACTATCTGGGAAGGCACTGGCAGGCCTGCCTGACACTCTTTCCCTGTTGCACTACTGTGGGCCACTGGGAAGCAGTGCAATGATGAAAGGGCATTGGTCAGGCCCAGCCCACCACCTACAGTGTCTGTTGGGGGGGAGGGGAGTTTTGCTTCCCACTCTACTTGCTAGCAGTTAGGCTCAGAGTTGAACTGGAGTTGAACTGGACCCCTGTCAGGGGATCAGGTGAGTGCAGAGTTGGGGAGTCATCCCCTCAAGTTCTTTGTCTGGGTCATGGCTGGCGGATGCAGGGACAGAGACCCCAGATTTAGAAAAACTCTGGTTTGACAAAGATCTTTCTATTCTAGCTCCCACAGTAAGGTTGGGTACTTCAGATTTGGTCAGTGGAGGAATAAGTGCCTGGGTACTTCAGATTTGGTCAGTGGAGGAATAAGTGCCTGGGTACTTCAGATTTGGTCAGTGGAGGAATAAGGCCTACTACTGTGCATGAACCAGGTCTGCCAACTTCCAGATCTAGCTCAACCGTGACCAATAAAAGCAAACTGGACCCAGGCCTTGAAAACTCAGGGAGGGCCAGGATCTGGAGAGAATTTCTACATTTTCAGCAGAAGTATCTGGGGTGGATGGGTGAACTTGAGATACAAAACCTGTAGGTAATGCCGCCACCTATGCCAGTTTGTTCTCTTACAGGGAGATATACTGCCTTGGAGCCTACAAGAAGGACTGTGAGGCACCTGGCACTCTCACCCTCACCATTGGAATTGGGGGGGAT